ATCATACACCACTCATCATACACCACTCATCATACACCACTCAACATACACCACTCATCATCCAGTTAGCTCTAGTTTCAAGAGCTCTAGCTCCAGTTAGCTCTAGTTGCAAGAGCTCTAGCTCCAGGTAGCTCTAGTTTCAATAGCTCTAGCTCCAAGTTTCAATAGCTCTAGCTCCAGGCAGCTCTAGTTTCAAGAGCTCAAGCTCCAGTTAGCTCTAGTTTCAAAACCTCTAGCTCCATTTAGCTCTAGTTGCAAGAGCTCTAGCTCCAGGTAGCTCTAGTTTCAATAGCTCTAGCTCCAGGTAGCTCTAGTTTCAATGGCTCTAGCTCCAGGTAGCTCTAGTTTCAAGAGCTCTAGCTCCAGTTAGCTCTAGTTTCAATAGCCCTAGCTCCGGTTTACGTGGTAGGCGCAGCACTTTGTGAACCTCCATGTGCAGATTTCGTGGCAGCACAGCACTTTGTGAACCTCCATGCGCAGATTTCGTGCCAGGCACAGCACTTTGTGAACCTCCATGTGCAGAGTTCGTGGCAGGCACAGCACTTTGTGAACCTCGATGTGCAGATTTCGTGGCAGGCGCATTACTTTGTGAACCTCCATGTGCAGATTTCGTGGCAGGCGCAGCACTTTGTGAACCTCCATGTGCAGATTTCGTGGCAGGCGCAGCGCTTTGTGAACCTCCATGCGCAGAGTTCGTGGCAGGCGCAGCACTTTGTGAACCTTGATGTGCAGGTTTCGTGGCAGGCGCATTACTTTGTGAACCTCCATGTGCAGATTTCGTGGCAGGCGCAGCGCTTTGTGAACCTCCATGCTTCTCCGAACCTCGACGGGGAAGCTCCTCGGAACGACGGTTGCGAGACGGTCTCGGGTCATGGTCGGATCATGCTCGGAATCGTCCCTCCATTGCGATTAGAGGTTTCAGTTGTTTCTTGAAGCGCAGATATCATGGCAGGCGCAGCGCTTTGTGAACCTCCATGTGCAGATTTCGTGGCAGGCGCAGTACTTTGTGAACATCCATGTGCAGATTTCGTGGCAGGCACAGCGCTTTGTGAACCTCCATGTGCAGAGTTCATGGCACTTTGTGAACCTCGATGTGCAGATTTCGTGGCAGGCGCAGCACTTTGTGAACCTCCATGTGCAGATTTCGTGGCAGGCACAGCGCTTTGTGAACCTCCATGCGCAGAGTTCGTGGCAGGCGCAGCACTTTGTGAACCTCGATGTGCAGATTTCGTGGCAGGCGCATTACTTTGTGAACCTCCATGTGCAGATTTCGCGGCAGGTGCAGCGCTTTGTGAACCTCCATGCTTCTCCGAACCTCGACGGGGAAGCTCCGCGGAACGACGGTTGCGAGACAGTCTGGGGTCATGGTCGGATCATGGTCGGATCATGCTCGGAATCGTCCCTCCATTGCGATTAGAGGTTTCAGTTGCTTCTTGAAGTGCAGATATCATGGCAGGCGCAGCCCTTTGTGAACCTCGATGTGCAGATTTCGTGGCAGGCGGCAGATTTCGTGGCAGGCACAGCGCTTTGTGAACCTCCATGTGCAGAGTTCCTGGCAGGCGCAGCACTTTGTGAACCGAACCTCCATGCGCAGATTTCGCGGCAGGCGCAGCGCTTTGTGAACCTCCAGGTGCAGATTTCGTGGCAGGGGCAGCGCTTTGTGAACCTCGATGTGCAGATTTCGTGGCAGGCGCAGCACTTAGTGACCTCTATGTGCAGATTTCGTGGCAGGCGCAGCACTTTGTGAACCTCCATGTGCAGATTACGTGGCAGGCGCAGCACTTTGTGAACCTCGATGTGCAGGTTTCGTGGCAGGCGCAGTACTTTGTGAACCTCCATGTGCAGATTTCGTGGCAGGCGCAGCACTTTGTGAGTCTCCATGTGCAGATTTCGTGGTAGGTGCAGTACTTTGTGAACCTCCGTGTGCAGATTTCGTGGCATTGTGAACCTCCATGTGCAGATGTCGTGGCAGGCGCAGCACTGTGTGAACCTCCATGTGCAGATTTCGTGGCAGGCACAGCACTGTGTGAACCTCGATGTGCAGATTTCGTGGCAGGCACAGCACTGTGTGAACCTCGAGGTGCAGATTTCGTGGCAGGCACAGCGCTTTGTGAACCTCCATGCGCAGATTTCGTGGCAGGCGCAGCACTTTGTGAACCTCCATGCGCAGATTTCGTGGCAGGCACAGCGCTTTGACCTCCATGCGCAGATTTCGTGCCAGGCACAGCGCTTTGTGAACCTCCATGTGCAGATTTCGTGGCAGGCACAGCAGAGCTGGAAGCTGAGAACTGGCGACTTTGTAGTGCAACTTTAGTACGCGGAGCAATCTGTGGAGCTGGAAGCTGAGAACTAGTACGCGGAGTATCTGGGGAGCTGGAAGATGAGAACTGGCGACTTTGTAGTACAACTTTAGTACGCGGAGTATCTGGGGAGCTGGAAGATGAGAACTGGCGACTTTGTAGTACAACTGTAGTACGCGGAGCCATCTGCGGAGCTGGAAGCTGAGAACTGGCGACTTTGTAGGGCAACTTTGGTGCGTGGTGTATCTGAGGAGCTGGAAGATGAGAACTGGCGACTTTGTAGTACAACTTTAGTACGCGGAGCAATCTGTGGAGCTGGAAGATGAGAACTGGCGACCTTCTAGTACAACTTTAGTACGCGGAGCAATCTGTGGAGCTGGAAGCTGAGAACTGGCGACTTTGTAGTACAGCTCTAGTACGTGGAGCAAGCCGTGGAGCTGGAAGCTGAGAACTGGCGACTTTGTAGTACAACTTTAGTACGTGGCTGAGTCATCTCTATTCTGTATTTTGCAAAAGGCAAGACAGTTGACGGTGGTTGCTTCGCTTTCGCTCCATTGGTCGGTCCCAACTTGTTTTGTCAAAGAACATCGCAGCTCGGCGAATCAGCCTGCCACATGCCCTTTTCATATAGGTTTATTCCTTTGGAAACTTCCGCCGCCGGCTTGCCCGGGAACTACTTGTACTTTTCCTGGTTGAATTGAGGAGAGGGACCCGAGACGGTCTGGTATGGATTGCCATTCACTTCTAATACTTTTGTACAACCACCCAATAGGGGCCTTGGTAAGGGCAGGATGACCGCCCTACACAAGGATTTTTGACCATGGCACATATTGTGGTTCTAGCCGGCGCTTTGTTTGATTGACATGTGCCATGTGATCTCATAGACGCGTGGGGTTGTATCTTTGCGGTTTACAATGAAGTCCAGCTCTTCATCCACGAACTACGATCCTGTCCCGAAATCTCTCTCTTTTCTTTGGACGATCTGAGGAGAGACCTGTGATCAGTGCACTAACAGCTGCTTGGAATTGAAAAGGGACCGCGCTTGGAATTGTTTACAGCGGTGTGTCTCAGGTCATTATTTGACTGCAGATCATTGGTGCGAGGTTGCGTGCGCACATTTGTTCCCTGCACATTTGGTGTCTTGAGCAATGTCATGGCCCTTGGTTGTTTGTCGTTGCAGGATGCTTGCCCGGATGGTTACTACAAGAATGGCACAGGCAAGTTGGGCAGAAGGTGCTTGACTTGCCCAGCAGGAATTTCAAAATGCATCAGCCCAACGGCTACTTGGAAGATTTTAAACGACAGATTTTTGCAGGAACCCTTAGCGTTACTTTTTACATATATAGTTCCTTTCTAGGAAAAGAATCAAAGCATGGACAAAGTGGTGTCAAGGCGTAAAGAGCAAAAACAAAAAATAACCAAGGAAAGGAAGAACAGAAGGACACAAAGAAAAACATATCTGGAAGGTTTTTCCCCAAACAGTTTACTGTTAGGGGTTCTCAATTCTTTCTTAAGATGTGTCCGCCCTTGTGTCACTGCTGGTGTCCGCCCTTTTCCGCTGGCTGGTGTTCAAGGGATTTTCCGGAAGAACCCTTCGCAATGCTTTCGGGAATTATGTTGGAAAGTCGGGCACGTTTAAGTTTTCACGTATTTATTATTCGGGTCGATGTTAGTTTTGAGTTTTTCTTGGGGTCGGTGGCCGCAAGAATCTAGTTAGAAGAAGCCTAGAGGCCTAGAGTAGCTAGAGCACCTACTGGCATAGCTGGCAACAATCTACCAGGGCTGGACGCAAAAGGGTTGGTGTTCGGGAAAGCCTGAGCGCGGTGCGGAGCGTCCTTGAAGAATTCATTGCGCGGTTGATTTGGTTCCTATATGTTTTGTGGAAATTGTTTAAACATGTTCTTGTATGTTCCAAAAGATACTAGAAGACAGGGTGGCCTGAAAGCACAGCAGGAGATGACAGAAGGTAACGATGAGGATGTGGATTGTCACGAAAATGATTTTCACAATGATGACGATGATGATGATGGTGGTGGTGGTGGTGATGATGATCACAATGGTCACCGCAAACCATCCCGCTCCCCAGCGACACGCCGCGTTTACACCATGTTTTTAAGTTTAATGGCACGGTCTCCGAGGCCGCGCAAAACCGCATGGCACAGCGACGTCGCAGACCTAATTTCGCCACGCGCGCGCTACAAAGTTGCCAGGTCTGAGGCCCGCAGCTGCCGGAAGCTGCTCCCGGAGGTGCTTTTGGCACTAGATTCATTCACTAGATTTGCGCCACAAAGTTACCAGTTTTAACTTGACAGCTCCCAGAAGCTGCTCCATATAACATTCCTACCACAAAGGTGCCGCAAAGGCTGCTTCCCACACAACATTTGTACCAAAGTTGCCAGCTTTGAGGCCTCTTCCTGTCCTACATGTGCGCTACAAAGTTGCCAGCTTCCAGAAGCTGCTGGCTGCACTACATTTGTACTATACTACAAAGTTTCCATGCCAACGCAACGACAGTCACACACTTTGGCAACTTCCACCGTCGTATTTAACCAGTCACGCATTTTGGCACCTTGGTTTTCGACGACAATCACACACTTTGGTAACGTCCACCTTCCTTTCGACGACCCCGCCTTCGTTTTCAACGACATTTACACACTTTGGCAACTTCCACCTAGATTTTCGACGACAGTTACACACTTTGGCGACGCCCACCGAGAGTGACGCGCTTTGGCAACGTCCACCTTCCTCTTCGATGACCGTTAGACACTTGGGCAACCTCCACTTTGTTTTTGACGACAGTTTGGTAACTTCCATGTCGATTTTCGACGACGTTGCACACTTTGGTAGCAAAATTCACGTTTCACCTCACGTTTGAGCACTTAAGGACATTGCAAATTCGCATTTCACTCCGCGTTTGAGGGCTCGATGTGCGATCTCCGCACAGGGTTTGACAAAGGACAACTCAAATTCACGCTTCGCCGCGCAGCTTGAGCGCTCGATACGCGGTATCTCCGCAGAGGGTTCACCAAGGGCAAATTGGCATTTTGTTTCACGTTTGAGCGCTCGACGCGCGATCTTCGCAGAGGGCTACCAGGGACCAATCATATTTGCACTCGCCTCACGGTTGAGCGCTCGACGCGCGCGATCTTCGGAGAGGGTTCGCCAGGGACAACTCAAATTCGCATTTCGCCTCACGTTTGCGCACTCGATACACGCGATCTCTTCAGAGTGTTTCCCAAGGCCCACAACGAGCTGCGTATTACCACAGTTTGCCACCTCTCCGCCTTAAGGGTAGTTTATAAAGATGTCGAAGTTGTATTCGCGTGGGTGATTTTTGTGGGTGTTGTCACCTGTATCTCAACACCTTTTTCACCTGTATCTCAGCACCTGCCTGTATTACCTGTATCTCACCACCCGCATCTGTACACAGGTGTTCCCCTTCATGACAACCATATCATTCACCTGCATCTCTTCATACCATGGTGATGATGATGATGATGATGATGACGGTGATAATGACTTGATGATGGCGACAGTGACAGTGATGATGGTGGTGATGATGATGACAATGATCGATGGTGATTGCGATTACGATGATGATGTTAACTGTTAAATGATCAAAGTGATGATGTTGAATGCGATGTCTATGCTGCTGCTGATGATGATGATGATGATGATCAAAATGATGAAAATTATCAAAATGATAGTTAAACAATTGAAATTGGTAGCCGTTCTTTACGGAGAACCCTTTGCAGGTGCTTTTCGGAATTGTTCTTAAGCATGTTTCATTTTGTGTTCAATGCCTTCGTTCGCTTCTGGTCTTGGACTTCACCTTCAGGTTGCCACTGAGTGTCGAGATGCCAAATATCTCACCACTCACGGAGCTTGTGTCGATGCATGTCCGGATGGAACCTACCCAACAGGCGACACGCTGGCTGTGAATAAATGCGCGCCAATGTTGACCAAACGGGGCAACGCATCTCTCCAAAGAAAACAACATATTTCTTTGGTTGCATTTTGAGTATTCGTGCGAGTGTCCTTCCTTTAGCCATGATGTTTTTGTTCTATTCGCTTCAACGTAGACTATTGTCGTGTTTCCTCAACTCCTTACACAGCTGTTGTTTTATCCACTGGGAATCAAGGCATCGCACGGCAGTTGTGCTACAGCAGTGTTTTCATCGCATTCAACAACAGTGCCTTTCAATCAATGGACTCCTTGTGGTCAGCGCCCCGATGAGACCTACATATCAGAGACTACGGGGCGCTACCATACATACATAACTAACTACTATGTTACATACTATAGATAAAGCGTGAGTTTTTGCAATGTGAAAAAGATCACTCGTGTTGTCTGAAGTCCACCATGGCTTAGGGGACCACTCACTGCATGGAGAGTTTGCAAGGGTGTGGGTTCCCAACCCCCCGCCCACTCTGTATTGCAATCAATAGAATACCGCAGTTTTTGGTAATGATACTGCGTAGTGAGCAAATCCAACCAGATCTTATGCTGTGATTTTGATGTAATGGCATTCAGTTTACTCTGGACAGGCCACAGCAGCATTGGCCGCACCTGCCAAGCTTCTTCATGCTGCAACAAGTTAGCGTGTGTGGGACCACTGCAGAGTCTACCACCTTGATACAAGAATTTGGACACCAACCTTTGCAGTAGGTCTTGATGTTCAGTGTTATTCGTTGAGTCGAGCTCATTCAACTACTGTACTTGCCTGCAGTCCCTCGTGCATCCTGACTGAGGTTTGCGAGGCAAGCTGTGCCCAATGCACGCAGGCCGTGCAAGTCATTGGAGCATCTTCCAGAGATTTTAGTTTCCCAAATAATTTGTAGTTGGTGGGATAAGAGATTGAAAGGGGCACGGCTTTGTGTTACAGGCCAATATATGCTTGCAATGCAAGAATGGCTGGTTTCTCGGCTTCTGAAAGTGCGCAAGTTTGGTCGCGCGCACATAGACACACACACACGCTTATGATTTTGCGTACTGAACTGAAAGCGGTTGCCACACGCCGGCCTAGGTTACCAATTCCTAAGGGTACAGGTAAGGAGACCTGAAAAGGAAGTGGAGGTCCATCGAGTTCAAGTTCAGCGTGGCCATCAAATCTAAAGAGACCGTCGAACGATCAATCGACAGAATGAGGTCGTCCGCTCACGGCTGCAAGTCGAAACCAAAGCCCTACGCGTGACTGCCGAGAGCAAACCGGCGCAAAAGCTGGACATCTTGTTCTAGTTAGAAGCAGGGCCCACGATGAAGTGTCTCAAGTAAAACTGCAGGTACGCCAGGCTGATCAGGTCTGGTTTCACCGCCAATTGCAAGTGTCTTCGTTGGCAGGAGACTTGCAACGGCGCCAATAAACGAAAAGAAAACACAATCCGAGCGGATCCCTGTGACTTCAAGGGGCACGCGCGCACTTATGGATATGCCTGCTGACTTGACAGCGGTGCCACACGCCGGCCTAGGGTTCCATTTCCTACGAGTACCAGTAAGAACCATCGAAGCCTGGGGGTCTGTAAGAGGAAGTGAGGCCAAAAGCGCAAGACCGAGGACGAAGCGACGAGATGACGGCGGATCGTGCGTGACTGCAGCTGCTTAGAAACCATGTCTTGGAGGTTCTGGGCTTAGCCTCATGCCGCTCGAAAAAATCGCAGGTACGTCTGGCTGATCAGGCCAGATATCAGCACGGAGCTTGACCCTCTTCGTTGGATCACCAGTCAAGTCCGTGGGTGATCCAACGTTAAAGGATGACCGAAACAAACAACATGGCATGTCACAAATGGCCTGAAGTTCTTTATTCCAAATTGTCTTCCTCGTTCACCGATTACATCTTTATATCTAGTGCATATGTCAGCTACTAGGAACAAGTGCATCGCTACTAGGAGCAAGGGCCTTGCTAGTACCCCTGCTTCAAATCAAAAGAAGAAGAAAAAACGCACAATCCGACTGGATCCCTGTGATTGCAAGGGGTACACGCACACGCCTCCCTGAGGGGAGGCGTAAATCTAAGGTGACGGCAAATGTGCACGCGCGTGCGCGCAAGAGACAAAAGAATGAAGACATGACAGGAGGACAAGACGGGACAAAGGTGCGTGTGGTTGTGATGAAAGGGGAACCAAGTGCACAGGGACACCCGATGAAGCCCACCTCATTGTAAAGACCTGGGCGACCTGAAACCTGTGTTAAAACTGTAAGTAAAGGTGCACGTACACACTAAGGCCGGGACCAATGTGCGCGCAAACGAAGAAAAGGATGAGATGACCAGACATGAAGACAGGAGGACATGAAAGAAAAGAGGAAACAAAGGTGTGAAAAAGGGGAAACGGTGAAAAGGGGAACCAAATGGAGGGAACGAGAACCGATGAAGCCGAACCTCGTTAGAAACACCTAGGAAGACCTCGCCTCGTTTGCATGTATACGCTGTGTGTGTGCACCTGAGAATGGGACAGGTTCCAGTGAACCTTGAACAAACTTCGGTCGCTGCGACCACGTACGGCATGCCCGAGGGCGGCCACCTCTGACCGCTGCGGTCACGAAAAGGCATGAGCCAACTTGGAATTCCAAAGATGAGACGAACATCCCATTTCTTGAGGCATAAGCCACCTACGCTCGCTGCGAGCTGCTCTGTATCCAGGCAGGGGGTGCGTTCGACAAACGCCCGTTCAACGGGTCCACGGGAGGCACTCTACGGGCTCATCCCGGGTTGGCACGAGGCCAAACACACTTATGGATATGCGTATTGACTTGACAGCGGCGCCGCACGCCGGCCTATAGGGTTCCATTTCCTACGAGTACCAGTAAGAACCATCGAAGCCTGGAAGAGGAAGTGAGGCCAAAAGCGCAAGACCGAGAACGAAGCGACGAGATGACGGCGGATCGCGCGCGATTGCAGCTGCTTAGAAACCATGTCTTGGAGGTTCTGGGCTTAGCCTCATGCCATTCGAAAAAACCGCAGGTACGTCTGGCTGATCAGGCCAGATATCAGCACGGAGCTTGACCCTCTTCGTTGGATCACCAGTCAAGTCCGTGGGTGATCCAACGTTAAAGGATGACCGAAACAAACAACATGGCATGTCACAAATGGCCTGAAGTTCTTTATTCCAAATGTCTTCCTCGTTCACCGATTACATCTCCATATCTAGTGCATATGTCAGCTACTAGGAACAAGCGCATCGCTACTAGGAGCAAGGGCCTTACTAGTACCCCTGCTTCAAATCAAAAGAAGAAGAAAAAACGCACAATCCGACTGGATCCCTGTGATTACAAGGGGTACACACACACACACACGCTCCCCGAGGGGAGGCAAAAAGAATTAAGGCTAGGACGGTTGCGCAAATGTGCACGCGGGAAAGACAAAAGGATGAAGACATGAGAAGGAGGACAAGACGGGGCAAAAAGGTGTGTGGTTGCTATGAAAGAGAAACCCAGCGCGCAGGGACAACCGATGAACCCCACCTCATTGTAAAGACCTGGGCGACCTGAAACCTGTGTTTCAAATGTGTGTAGAAGGGCACGTACACACTAAGGGCGGGACCTATGTGGGGGCAAACGAAGAAAAGGATGACCAGACATGAAGACAGGAGGACATGAAAGAAAAGAGGAAACCAAAGGTGTGTAAAAGGGGAAAGATGAAAAGGGAACCAAATGGAGGGGACGAGAACCGATGAAGCCGAACTTCATTAGAAACACCTAGGAAGACCTCGCCTCGTTTGCATGTATGGGACAGGTTCCAATCAAGCTTTGGTCGCTGCGACTGCGTACGGCTTGCCCGAAGGCTGCCACCTTTGACCGCTTCGGTCGCGTAAAGGCATGAGCCAGCTTAGAATTCCATAAAGGAGACATATATTCACGTCGCTTCGCGACGGTAACCGCCCGCACCGCATGGAAGGGGACAATATTTTCACCGAACATAGCCCCGGAAGTGACCCCCCCTCCATCCCCAACGTGGCCGAGCATAGGTTCCATGTTTCGAGATAGGGATTTAACATGGCCCAACGTAGTTGGGGGGTTAAAAGACTGCTGCCGTCTTGCGGGTCGGGTAAGCGGTGAGAGAGCTTCAGGAAGGAACACGATCTGGAACGGGGTCTTGTGCTTTTGGAGCCAAGGGAGTCAGTATGAAAGGAAGATAGGGACTTGAACGGCGCAAATTGATGTATCTTTTCTCAAGGTAGCTCAAGATCGTGCAAGATAGGCCGGCTCAACAGGAGCAGAGATAAGCAGAGATAAGGTCAATTAGCGGAAACGTGTTCTCCTAACGTGGCCCGACATAGTTTCCATATTGCCGAACATAGCCCCAGAAGTCACTGCGTGTTCCCTCGAGACCGGGACGTGTGGAGTGTGGAGACTTGAGATAGTGCCTTCGGGGGCTATGTTCGATCATATGGAACTAGGCTCGTGAGAAAATGTTACCATTCCTGGACCTTATCTTTCCTTATTTCTGTTCTTGACCACCATTCCTGGACCTTATCTTTCCTTATCTCTGCTCCTGACTCGCCACGTACCCGCACGTTCAAGTCCCTATCTCGAGGCGACATGCTTGAGATAGTGACTTTGCAGGCTTTTCCAGTCCCTTTTGAGCCCTCGTTGGGCCATGTTTACGACGTTGAAGTCCCTATCTCAAAGAAGCACGCTTGAGATAGTGACTTCTGGGGCTATGTTAGGCAATATCTTCACTCTATTCCAGTCCCTTTTGAGCCTTCGTTGGGCCATGTTTACGACGTTCAAGTACCTATCTCGCAGACACGTCCGTTAGATAGTGACTTCTAGAGCTATGTTACGCAATATGGAAGCTATGTTGAGCCCCGTTAGGGGGACCTTTTCAGCCAAATGTCCGGCCTCAGTCCAATTACACTTTACCGCTCAGATGATGCAGATGATGCAAAGCAGAAAATTGCATTTCTTGCATCGCCAGAGGCTTCAAGTTAGCGCGAATTTATCTTCCAGCACTTTAAGCCGGTTCCAAAAACGTGAAAAACACAGGATTCTAGAGCGAAAATGCTCCCCCCCCCTAGCTAAAGCTATAGTAGTACTTGCGGTACTTGCGGTATAACGCGAGCCTCATAAAACGCCTCGGCACCTTCGGTGCGGGCGGATTTGAGTACTTTCGGCCTAGGCCACCTACGCCCGCTCTGCGCACGTGCATCTCCGGGCAGGGGAGATAAAGACAAACGCCCGCTCGACGGGTGCACAGGGGCCACTCTTCCGGGTCACCCTGGGCTGGCATAAAGCCAGACACACTTATGATTTTGCGTGCTGAACTGAAAGCGGTTGCCACACGCCGGCCTAGGTTACCAATTCCTAAGGGTACAGGTAAGGAGACCTGAAAAGGAAGTGGAGGTCCATCGAGTTCAAGTTCAGCGTGGCCATCAAATCTAAAGAGACCGTCGAACGATCGATCGACAGAATGACGTCGTCCAATCACAGCTGCAAGTTGCAATCAAAGTTTACGCGTGACTGCCGAGAGCAAAGCGGCGCAAAGGCTGGACATCTTGTTCTAGTTAGAAGCAGGGCCCATGATGAAGTGTCTCAAGTAAAACTGCAGGTACGCCAGGCTGATCAGGTCTGGTTTCACCGCCAATTGCAAGTGTCTTCGTTGGGAGGAGACTTGCAATGGCGCTCCTGCCCCCCGGTCAATAAAAGAAAAGGAAAGAAAACGCAATCCGAGCGGATCCCTGTGACTTCAAAAGGCACACACACACTTATAGAAATGCGCGCTGATGTGAATGCGGTGCCACACGCCGGCCCAGGTTACCATTTCCTAGGTACCAGGACGAATAGTAGGTTAAAGGCCATCGCTTTTAGGTTGGACATCATCACAAAACCGTTGGGGGTCAACGCCTAAGGTTGGAGGCCGTCGTTAGTAGGTGGAAGGTAGTATGCGCAAACCAACAAAAATGACAAATAGTAGGTTAAAG